AAATCCAAAATTAAGGGGCACCTGGGTGGCTCAGTGGGTTGAGTGACTGCCTTCAGCTCAGGTCATGATCCTGGAGTCCCAGGATGGAGCCCGGCATCGGGCTCCCTGCTCAGCTGGGGGTCTGCTTCTCCCTCTGCCCTTCCCCCTGCTCATGCTCTCTCTACCCCCCCCATTCTCTCTCTCAAATAAACAAGTAAAATCTTTTTTTAAAAATCCAAAATTAACAAATCTTATATTCCCGATGCATTATAGCCTGAAGAATCATGTGAGCCTAGCCACACTCCTGAGTCTGTCTGGGCATGTATTTGGCATGATTTGGGCACAGTGGCACACATTTGCCCATCAAGGTCAGTTCAGCGATTGCTCAGCCAGCCAGGAGAGACATGCGTGCTGGCCGGCTGGTCCCACTCCTGGGTTCTGCATTGTCACTCTACATCTTTCTGAAAATATCATGGATGTGAATGAATTCTCACTGAGTGTGCAGATCAAAAGTGGAATTTTCTAGAGCTTTGGGGAAAAGGAAAGAATTCGTGGAGCAAGATCAAAGCATACGTTGGAAGTAAATGAACCATATAAAGGTCAAGAAGGTGGCCCAGGGCGCTTCTTGTGAGAGGCAGACCTATCAATCACCCTAAAAGTGGAGGATAGACTGACTGTGGGCAAGGTGTTGATTTGTGTTAATTTGGGGTTTTTTAGTATCTTTTTAAAAAGTAATCTCTACAATGCAACATGGGGCTCAAACTCAGGACCCCAAGATCGAGTCACACACTCAACTGAGCCAGACACGCATCCTGAGGGTTTTGTTTTGAATATTAAAGTTTGCTGTTTGGGTGCAGTGACTTTAGCAGACAGGAAAGCTCTGAGAGTTTGGAGACTCTGAAGTATCTTCGGAGAGGATAGACCTAGCTTACTGGGGAAATTGTTCTATGACTCTTGCTATCGGTATGTCTTTCAGATGTTTGTCATGCTTGAAAAATCCAAATTCCATTTGGATGAATTTAATTCTGTGCTTTTTTTCTACCTCCTCCTTTCCCTAGGTGCCCTTCCACATTTTGTACTATCAAAAGTTAGCGCCCTACTACCCAATGATAAATCTTCACTATATTCATTTAGAATGCTTTAAATGTATTTATAAACTACACTTGTGGATAAAAATCCCACACACAGGGGTGCCTGGATGGCTCAGTGGGTTGAGCTTCTGCCTTCGGCTCAGATCATGCTCTCAGGGTCCTGGGATCAAGTCCCATGTCGGGGTCCCTGTTCGGCGGGGAACCTGCTTCTCCCTCTACCCCTCCTGCTCCCCCTGCTCGTGCTTGCTTGTGCTATCTCGCTCTCAAATAAAATTTTTAAAAAGACAGGGCACACCAAGTGTCGGCAAGGCACTGAAGGAGCTGGAACTCTGATACTGCTGATGGGTTCAGGGGTGTGGAAACCACCTTGAGAACACATTCTGGCAGCTTTTAAAAGTGCTAACCACACACCCACCCTATGACCCTGCGGGTTAGCACCCTTAGCCGGGAAATGTGAAAGCGCGTGCCCACACAGAGACTTGTGTCCAAATGCTCATCGCTGCTTCATTTCTAGTGGCCTAAAACTGGGAACAGTCGGAAGTCCCTCAGCCGGGGGACAGAAACACACTGTGGGGCCGGCACACGGGGGAGCACTCGGTGGCAGCGAGGACCGGGACACATTGCCACATGGATGTGCTGACTGCAGCGAGTGAAAGAAGCCAGATAAAAAGAGCACTTGCTGTATGATTTCGTTTATTAAAATTTTTTTTAGGTGCAAACGGATACACAGTGAGAGAAGCAGAGCAGAAGTTGCTGGGCCAGGGAGGGCAGGGGCTGGAGGGACAACAGAGGGACAAGGGAGCCTTGACTGTGGTGCGTTCGCATGTCAAAGCTTACAGCTGCCATGTAACCTGCGATTCCACCCTCTGAGTACTTCCCAAGGGGACGGACACAGGCCTGACTCTAGAGACCAGAAGCAGGTCACTGATGACTCTTTACCAAGAATATAGTTTCTGCGGAAAGCTCCGGCAGGCCAAGTTCTGTTTCTTGATCAGTTTTCTACACATCAAAGATGAGCTACCTCCATTTTTTTCCACTTCCACTTACAACGTACCGAAATTATATTGGGACCAGTTTTTTCCATGCACATATAAGATTTCTTATATTGGGGGCTTGGTCAGTTAAACGTCTACCTTTAGCTCAGGACATGATCTGAGGGTCCAGGGATCAAGTTCCTCATCAGTCTCCCTGCTTGGTGGAGAGGCTGCTTCTCCCTCTCCCTCTATGTCTACTCCCTGCTCATGTGCTCGCGCGCCCTCTCTTGCTTTCAAATAAGTAAAGAAATCTTTAAAAAAAAAATCTTATATTGATCAAATTCACAATTAGACCTTGTGCCTACACACATCCTAGGTCTGTTATTCCCAAATGCTCAGGAATCAGGGTGTTACCACGTGCACAAGTTTAGCCACTGTCAAATCATTTTGTTACTGTTCTTAGCAGTAAAATTGTGAATTCTGATCTTTAAAAAGAATACTTAATATTTGCCTAAGCCATCCCACAAGAGAACAGTGAGCATATCCCTCAGTTGCCCAGTGCCCCTGGGTGCTGGCTCATTGCACAGCCTGTCCAGTTTTGCCCTGTTCCTCCTGTCTCCATGTGCAGCCATGTCTGCCCCAGGACCTGGAAGCCGTTTTCACAGTTAGACTATGCACACGGATATGAAGGCGGAGCAGAGTCTCACTTTACTTGTCAACTTCATTCATAATTTTAAAATGAAAATTAGAACATCAATTAGTGTGGCAAAAACCAGTGAATTTGACACAAACCAGTACTGGCTCATATGTAGTGAAATGGGTGTGCTGAGGGGAAGCTAAGGCAGGCAGCTTGATGTCCCCTGCCAGGAGGGAGATGGGACAGCGGGCCTCCTCAGTACCCTGCTGCACCACATAGTTTAGAGAAGGAGAGTCCGGGTGTGCTGATATGAAAGTCTCATCTGTTACATGAGAAACGAAGTCAGAGTGGCATGAACAGTGAATTAATAAGAAGGGTATTGTACATAAACATATTCGTGGGATGGGAAGTTTCCGGAAGATACACAAGAAACCATCACTTGGATCTATCAGGCTCTACCCAATCCATGACCTCCCATCAATGTTCCCTGAGCATAAGCCCTGTCTCTCCAGGAAGGAGACCCAAGTGTCAGCTCCAGATGACAGGCCCAGTGAGGAGAGAAGATGGAACACTAAGGACAAGGATTCAAGCGTGTGAAGGGAGCGAGTGCCAGGGGAACTGGTTCTGGATCTTGGGAGGCTCTGAAGAGCAGGGATGAGCTAAAGAAGCCCCTGGTACTGCAGCTCCTCCAAATGTGTCCCAGTCCTCCCCAGCCGCCCCTCCTCCCCAGCCTGAGCACACCTTGCCCCGCCATTCCCAAGCAAGTCTAGGGTTCAGGAAGGGTGAGGGCAGGCCCTGGGCTGCTGCCCTGTTTCTGCTCCTTGGACCATGTGGCCTATAGTGTGGTTTCTGTGTCACTCTGTGACTGCCATTGAGTGTTGTTCAGTGTTTCGATGGTAACTGGTGTCCAACACCAGGGTACAAAGCTTATATACCCAGTAGGGAGATTAAGAAACGGACTTTAGAAGAGAAAGACCAAAGCCAACAAAAGGAATCACAGACATGCCAACTCTAATCTTAGCAATGTTGGCTCTTAGCCAAGGCAGAGAGGATCTGGTTTTAAATATAATCAAATGTTGCAACCCTACAGAGCTCTGGGCCACCCAGATCAATGCGCAAGCCCTCCTAGGTAGCCTAAGCATCCCAGGGGTTGTAAGTGCACAGACGGTGTGCCCCCGAGCTCCCCTGTTTAAGTATAAGGTTACCCAGAGTCTCGTCTCCTGTTGGCTCTAAGTTAGAGCCCACATCTGTAAGAATTTATAGTGTGTCCCACTCTGACACCTTCACACCTGTCCTATTTCATTGTCACACAGCCCTCTGGCCATATTCCCAAGGCCACGTGGCTGATGGGCCAAGCAGGGTTTGCTCGAACAACTGGCGAATCCCGAAAACAGCTTCCTGGCTGCCTCGTCAGCCGCTGCTGCAGCCCCAGCAGGAGAGGACGGAGTCCTTGCTCCTCCTCACCCGGAGTCCCGCCCTCCTGCTCCTGCACCCTCTGCCGTCTGTCTTTGCGAACTGAGCACAGGCCCGTGGCGCAGCTGAAGCCCACGCAGGGTGGGCTGGCGGGCGGGCATGACTGGTTGGTCCTGCGCCAGCTGCCGGGAGCCCGGGGCTTCCTTTCCGGGGCCTGCCGTCCCTCATCATCAGGCGGCTAATCCAGGGTGCAGGCTTGATCTAGGCCCCGACCAGAGTGGGCAGCTGGCCTGAGCCCACAGAGACCTCTTTCTCAGGAACTCACAAACAGGCATGAGCAGCTCTGGTTGAGGGCGGACTCTGGCCTGGGGTCAGCCACACAGAGCGAGCGTCAGATGGCCACGTTACAAACCTTCCCACTGGGGTCATTCTTCCAGTGGACGCAGACCCACACCCCACCTTCGGAGTCCGCTCCCCTCCCAGGAAACCTTGCAAGGCCCACCCGCCTTGATTTAATCTGCAGAGACTCTGACCTGGCCTGCCGCCTGAGATCACCTTGTTCCAACTTCAAAACCCAAGGGTTAGGAAACCACAAATGCCTGATACAAACCGGTACTGGCTCGTGAGGCGTGAAAGGCGTGCGCTGAGGGACAGCTAAAGCAGGCAGCTTGGTGGACATCTAAGCCCTTCCACCTTGCTGGAGGCGGACAGAGGGAGGACAGACTCGCAGGGGAGGGTTCGGTTGCTTTGGGGAGGGCAGGGAGGAAGAAGTCCAGAAAGCATGTCTTTGTGGATATATGTTTTTTCTATCTTTATATTTAGATTTAGATTTCTTTATTTCATCTTTGTTTTCTTGGGCGTCAAGGGCTCACTGGATCTGCTGGGAGTGGTGGGAGTGGGGTCAGATCAGGAGGTGGCCGTCAGTTCGGGGAGATCTGTGGTCTCCATTTCATAATACCCCTTCGCGCTGGAAAAAGTCTTCCCCTTCAAGATTTCTATGAGTTGCTGGAGTCGCTTGGCGAAAGAAAGTACTTGGGGAGGTCTAGTGACAGGCGGGGGTGCGGGCGGGGGTGGGGGTGGGGCCGGGAGTTTGGGTCGAGGTCCAGGTCGAGGTTGAGATGCAGGGGGGCTGGGGGGAGGTGGTCGAGGAGGGCGCTGGAAGTACCAAGGGGGGCGAACAGAGGGGTGGGCAGAGGGGAGTCTAGCCGGGGGTGCCTGAGAAGTCGAATGGAAAGGGGTGGGCAGCTGGGCCATGTGCAAGGCATTAGAGCCAATCTTGGAAGCGATCCAGCTCAGATAGGGCCAGGTGGCTGTGTAGACTCCAGGGCGCTTAGCTCGGGCACAGCCTACTCCCCAGCTTGTGATTCCCACGACCACATAGGTGTTTGCCACGTTGTCTCTGCACATGAGAGGCCCGCCGCTGTCCCCCTGCCCGGAAGGACACAGAAGTCACTCTCTGTCTGAGCCACTTTCCCCTGCCCAGAAGGGCCATAGGCCCTGGAAGGACAGTGTCTGCAGTCACATGCCTTCTAGCTGCCCTGAACCCAAGTGGCAGTGGTAACCCTGGAGTTAGTGCCAGCAGCTTAGGGCAGGTGCAAGAAGGGCCTCCTTGCAGAGAGGAGGAGAGAAAGGCGACCCGCGTGTCCACACATGAGGCTCTACGCACCCGCGGGCGTGCGTGGGTAAGCGGATTTGCAGGGTTCATGTTCTGGAGCGGGGAGGTTAGCCTTTTCTCAGGGGTGCTATTTGGGCAGCATGAGCTCTGTGTTATGATGGGATACAGCTCTCAGGGTGTGACTGGCTCTGGGTAGGGACAGCAGGCGTCCCCTCCCATCCTCGCTGTGACAAGATGGGACCAGGGAAAGGGTCACTGAAGCAGGGACCTGGAGGCGGGGAGCTCAGGGATTCAAAAAGAGGTGTGGGCAGGGAACAGGGCGCCCGAGGGGAAGTTACCTGGCAGGTGTCGATCTTGCCTTCGGGGTACCCCGCACACACGTTGGTTGAACGAATGCGCCCGTTGTACCACTGGGTGGAGTTACACAGGTCGAGGTCGATGAGGTTCACTCGCGCCTCCTGCAGTGTCGGTGTGACCCTGTAGACTACAGCCCGAGCAGCTCGGTGGTCAGCGATCACAGAGGCCACGTTCTGGGAGAGCCCAGCCCACTCCCCCCATGGAACCCCATGATCCTGACACGCTCTGTTATCCCTCAAGTCCACGAAAGCCAGTGCCCTCCCCCCCCACCCCGCCTCCCCTCAGATGCATCTGAAGGGTGTGGGGGGAGGGGGAGGGATGTGCAGGTTTGGGGGTGGGGGGTGGCCAGGGCCTGGAGGCTGAGCAGATTTGGCTGAAGGAATGCATGCTGTGTCGCCTCATTTACGCCCCACAGTGACCCTCTGTGCTAAGCACTGTGACTTGCCTGTCCTCCCATCGGAAGCTTGGAGCACCACGCGCCCAAACATCTGGTAGGGTTGTGGTGTGGCTGGGATCTGGACCTCACACAAATCCAGGACTCACGTTTTGTTCCCCCATAGCACGGCTGTGAGTCACCCGCCCTGCTCGCTATCCCCCGTTAGGACCCTTGCTCAGCTCTGGACGGGATCCGCAGGAGCTGGGCAGATGAGTCCCTCCCCGTGTGCCTCCCATCCGTTTTGAAATTAGAGGAGGAGGGGCAGGACTGCCTCCACACACAGACCTGTCGGGGACGTGGGCGTCGGAAGAACCTGCAGGCACATCTGAACATTCCTTTACAGGCCCAAATGCTCCATCACTGCCTTTGGTTAAGAAAGGCCCAGCCTAGGCTCTGCCTCCATCAGCCAACCTCGCACCTGGCTGCGGGGGCAGCTGTCCCCTCCTCAACAAGTGGCCAACCCCAGGCAAAAGGGCCCTACCACAGCCTGGCGGGCAGGAGGGGGGTGGTGGATTGTGCTTGCAACATTGCGGTGGGGGCCAAGCGGGAAGCCAGAACCAAGGGGACCAAAGTGGATGGAGCTAGGCGCACGGCAGGCACCCGGTAAACAGCTGACTGTGTGTTTGTCTGCTTCGACTGTCTCCAGTACCTTGAGCTCAGCCGTCCGCATCACCCAAGAAGAGGCCAGTTTTGTCCTTGCACGGCCCCCAAGGCAGAGGTGACACGGAAATCAGCACCGCAACAAGTTTGGTTGTTTACCGTGACCTGTTAGATCTATGTAAGAGACAGACGACGGGGACGAGAACAGGGTTTTTTCAATCCCAACTCCTTTAGGTGTTGGGTGACAAACGCTAAAAAGTCCACAAGAACTTGAAATTCAGTAGAAAAGGAGGACTAGCCCAGAAGCATGTGGGCTCAAGGAGAAAGCAGAAAAAGGAAGGTCTGCAGGAATGTCACAGAAGTTTGGAGGCTGGGGATTTCCTTAAGATGTGTCCTTCGCAGTGGGGGATGTCTTCACCAGAAGATGCTAGAAATCCTGTTAAGTTGAGGAGGTTCTAGAGCAAAAGAGGCCTTGTGCGATGTCCAGGATGTAGGTGGGAGCCTGGAACCCTTTAGAGCAGTAAGATAGCAAAGGTGGCGGTAGGGATGGGAGTGTAGACGGGAATCCTGAGACCAGCTCTCCGGGGACTACAAGACCCCGGGACACTGTGCACATGTTTGGGTGGGTGGGCAGAGCAGGGTAGGCTGGGGGTGGGACAAGAAGAATGTTCTAGAGGCCACGGCAGGGCCAGGAGGTTGACAGCCCAGGCTGGGGAGGGAAGGGCCAGCAGAGGCCAGTGAAAACAGAGTTGCCCGGGAGGAGAAGCACCCCCCATCAGAGATGGGGGCAGCCTTGAGAGAGGGAAGACGAGTTACAGGAAGCATCCTGAAACTACCGAGGTTTCATCGCCAGAAAAGGCTGAATTTTGAACCCCAAGTGACTAAAGTGGCTTGAATAAGGAACCCTCGGTTTTCCACTATGAAGGGACAGAAGAGCCTTCAGTCTCTCTCCACATCCCCAGCATGACTGTGTGGTCACCTGTGGACATCTGGAAGGCCTAGCCAAACTCTTGCTGCCCACAGCTGACCTCCCAAAAAAACTGTCCCCTCTCTCCAGAGAAAACAAGGTCACTTGGGTGGGGAGGGCAGTTTCTCACATCGAGGTTCACTGAGGTCAGGAGGGCTGGGCTCTGGGGTCTCAGAGCTCAGAGACCACATGACGTGGCCCTTCCACTCACAGACAGGGAAATGGATGTTGGGGGGGCATGGCCCTCAGCCACAAAGCCCCATGGAGAGCTCTTCTCCAACTGTTGTTTCAGGTGACAGTCCCCCATTTCAAGAAGGTAGCCACTGGGGCTCCAGCTCCAGATACAGCCACAGCCCGACCCCATTCTCCAAGTGCCCAGGTTCCCCTGTGCCTGCGCGCTCCCTTCCCTCCGGCGACCGCTCGAGCCATCCGTGGTGAGGCAGTGGATAGGGCACCCGGCTGCCAGCTTCTCTGGCTGTAAAAGGGGACAGTGCCCTGCGCTCTGGTGGACATCCCCACGAGGACCCATATTTGGCCCTTTCACCTCAGAGACCACTGAGGAGATGACCAGCAGCGCCCCCACCCCTGTGCGAGCCCCTCCCATACTCACCTTTCTCTTTCAAGAACCCCCAGCCAGCCACCCAGCAGACCTGGGGAATTCTAGGTGGGCCCGCCCTAAACCGGGGCAGGCAGCCTGTTCCGATGAACTGCCCGCAGGGGACAGGCGGGGTGATCTTCATGAGAGCGATGTCATTGTGCTCCAAACTGGGGATGTATTTCTCATGAATGATGATTTTCTCAACGTATCTCTCCTGTTGAGGCGGCTTCACCGGCTTGTCGTTCCCGTACACAATTTCGCTCGCTCCGAAGATCAGCCTCCAGTCATACACTTTCCTGTGGGCACAGAGGCAAGCCAGTCAGAAAGGACTGGCTCGACGGAAACCTCCGGTGGCCGTGACCCTCAGAGCCCTCCCCCAGCAAGGGTCTGGGCCCACCCACTCATTGTCTGCTTGCCGCAGGACAAAGTGTGCAGAGGGCCCTGGAGAAGGTCCCTTTCTGAAGACCTCCCTCCAGGCGCTCCCACACCTACTTTTTGGAGACAAAGCAGTGGGCGGCGGTAAGCAGCCAGTGGGAATTCAGCAAGGTGCCTCCGCATGCGTGGTACCTCCGGTGGTTGTGGGACGTGAAGACCTGCAGGCTGACCATCCAGGGCCAGGCCCCAATTGTCGTCTCCTGCCCTCCAACGACACGGCCACTGCCCTGTGAGCTCTGCCTGAAGCGCAACCCACAGGGGCCACTGAGGAGAGACCGGAGCACAGTTCAAACCAGGGAGGGGCACAGCCTGTCCTCGCCCCTGCACAACGTGGGGAGGGGGGCAGGGGGGCTGGGCCAAGTGGGGCAGCCTGGAGAGGGGAGGGTGGGAGGGGCTGCTGAGGAGAGCCGCGGGAAGCTGCAGGCTCCAGGAAATGGCTCTGAGGAGTGTGATTTCTGGGGTCTCGTGGGTGGAGCCACAAGACGAGGCAAGAAGGGGGCAGAGGAAGCAGAACTGATGACTAGAGCCTAGAAGTACAGGAGATCCCTAGGCAGGGGGGAGGTGAGATGGGGAGGCGAGAGGTAATGGCTTGGGGCCTTTAGGGCCAGTTCTGGGCTGGAGACTCAGGGAACAGCAGCGGGCGCCCTGGGGCCTCAGGGTGGGGCCGGATGGTGGCAGGAGGAGGGAGAGCCGCTGGGGGCGACCAGCAGGGGTCCAGGGATGGGAGTCCTGGGAGCCAGGGAGGGAGGGTACCTCAGGGGCTGTCGGAGTCTAAGGGGGAGGGGGCCCTAGAAGACGCCACGACAATACCCTGGGGTCTTTGGGGTCAGCCACAGGTGGGGGCACCACAGTATCTGTGGGAAGAAAGGGGCTTCTAAAAATTAGGACTTGATGTTCAAGAGGCAGTGAGGTCAGGGTAAGGACAGGGTCCCCCGTCTGCACAGTGAGAGGCAGGGGAGCCCAGAGTCAGCCCTGGGGCCTCCGGGCTGAAGCAGCTGGGAGCAGGGATGGTCTGAGTTGGGGATGTGGGTCACACCTGTGAGACCCAGGGCACCACCCAGGCCCAAGCTTGGCCTCCTCCCGGGCCCTGGACAGAGGCAGTCCAGGCGGGGCCTGCTCTTCAGAAGACGCCCTCTCCACCCGCCGAGGTGTCCCTGGCACTTACTCACACGTGGCGTTATCTTTGGCGACCGCGGACACTGCCAAGAGCAGCAGAGCGGCAGTTGGCAACATCCTAACTGCACTCCTGCCCCAGCCTGGCCCGGAAGCCTAGTGACCTCACAGAGCCCTGAGGCCTGCGGGCCAATCAGCCGGGCTACTCCCCTCCCCCCAGGAGTCGGGACCGGCAGGAGCCCTTTAGCTTAACTGGTTCTGGCTGAAACAGGATCCCAGCTCTCGGTACAGACCCCTTCCCACCCCAGGGGCATGGGGCTCCTATCCAGCCCCACCCTCTGTCCCAAGACCAAGACCGTCATTCCCAGTCACCCTTCGAAGGTCCCAGAGGATCTGAGGTTCCAGTTTCGTGCAGGGTCTGCCCCTCTCGGGCAAGCTGTGACCACAGTTCCTGTTCCAGATCGTGGGCTGGGGGGCAGCTCTGTTCCTCCGTGTCGAGATGGCAGAGCCTGTCAGGGGTCACAGGGTGTCAGGCTCACCAGATTAATCTATCCTTAACACTGCATGGGCAGGTTGTCTTTCCCTCTTCCCAGTACATAGTATCAGCACAATTTTCCAGGAGCCACTTTGAATTTCTCTCATTCGGGACTACAAAGCCCACCCTTCTCTTCACGGCCGAGTGTCGCAGGATCTGGTGTCTCCTGCCTGAGTGTCTCCAGGTCTCCTCTCCTGGACCTCCATGCAGCACGCTGCGTCCCTACACTTCAGGGTCAGGAATTCTCATCACCGTCACATGAGTACCCTGAGGGTTCATTTCCTCAGATCGTCAGAGACAGCATCTCCCCCACGGGGGAGGACAAACGCTCGCCTCACACACCCGCAGCTCCTTCAAGACTGGGAGGAGGTCACGTCTGCACCAGCCTGAAGGGCAGCGTCCCCTCCCCCACCCGAGTGTAAGTTCTCCACTAGACCATCTGAGCAGCGAGAGGTGGTCCCTCGCCTACCTGCGTGTCAGGACACCTCTGCAGCTTCTTCCTGAGTGTTAAGAGTTTTCCGATTGTCAGATGCCTTTATTCCTCTATTACCTTCTCGAACTGAATGTCATACCGCCTCAGCTCCCATAACTTTCAGGAGGTCACGTCCCCCTCAATGGGGTCTGGTGTATCTTTACCTGGGCATCAGGAACCACCACCTCCTTTTCCTGAATCTGAGGGTGTCTCTTTTCTTCCATCTCAAGGCCAAAGGCCTCATCTCTACCACCTCAGTGTCACTCTGTGGCCTCTTCTCTACCAGAGAACCCAGAGATCTTCTATCCCCTACCTGAAGGTCAGGAGCTGCATCTCTCCTGTGGGAGGGCACTGAGGCTTCCTCAGCCACACTGACGTGCCAGGAATTCTCGTGCCCCCACCTGGCTGCTGGAAGTCTCCTGTCCCTTACGTGATTACAGTCTCCCTCCCTGCCTAAGAGTCATGAGCTTTTATCTTCTCTACCTGAATATCACAAGGTCTTCTTTACTCGGTAAATGTCTGACAATCTCATCCCAGCTCCCTGATTGTCTGAAGGTTTCTATCTCCTTCCTGGGGGTCTTGAGGTCTCATCTCCCCTACTTGAGGATCGCGAAATCTTCCCTCTCCCATCTGAGTGTAAGGAGGTCTCCATGCCCTCCCTGAGTGTTCCCGCTTTGTCTCCTCCCCCTGAGCGTCAGGAGATGCTGTCTCTCACCTCTTCTGCTAGATCTGGAGGTTCCATCTCTGGTCTCTTAGAGACAAAGGGTCTTCTCTTCCCACCCTTCAGGCCAGGTGTTTGCAGTTCTTCAACTCCGTTGTCAGGCCTCTTATTTCCTCTCCATGAGTGTCCCCAAGTCTCCTCTAGGCCAGAAGATCTTGCCTCTCCTGTTATGGGGTGCCGGGTACCGACAGTGCTGATTCCATCTCGGTCCATGTTTGCTCAGTGACCTCTCTCGGGGCTGCGTATTCCAGGCCCTGTGGAGACTGACATAACCCTTAGAAACGCCTGCAGAGGCCAGGATGGGGGGAGGCTTGTTTGGGCCTTCCAGGAATCTCTCAGAGATGGCCTCGTCTTTCCCGTCGCTGAGGCCAGGTGGCGGCACGAGATCTAATTACAGGCTAGCTGTCAGTTAGGGTCATGCATGTCCTCTGGGCTGCATGTGAGCCCTTGGCTCTCACTGCAGTGTCCTTCTGTGGGTCCCATTGCTCTGTGAAATCTGCGGGCTAAGGTCTGGAGAGTAACCCTGCGGCCGCTGCAGACCTTCCTCCATCGGGGCACCTGCCAGGGAGTCCCCTGAACAAAATTGTTCCAACGGGGTGGAGTGGCCTGCTGGGACTTCCAGTCTCCAAGTGCCTTCTCTGTTTGGGGGACCCCTTCCTGTCCCTCCTCCGCCTTCTAACACGGGGCCAGGACATCTTCTCTTTGTTTGGTAGGGAGAAGCAAGGCCGGGGGGTTATGAGTTTTGGTATGTTGTTCCCACTCCTGCCGAACAGCAAGCTGGGTTTCACCTACATGAACGTAACTGGGCCTCAGTAACATCCCCTTTGTGAGGGTCTCACGGCTTTTATCACTGCTCCCTGCGTATCAGGAAGGCTCCCCCATTTCCACCTGAGTGTAAGGAGGACATGCGTCTCCTAGGGAATTTTCAAGGCCCTTGTGTGCTTTCCCCAACTGGTAGGTTTTTTTTCTCTGACCTTAGTGTCCCAGAACTTATGTCTTCCCTACCGGGCTCCTGCATGGAAGTGTTCAGGGCCTTTCCTTTTTTTTCCTTTCTTGTGCGGCCATCACTGCAGGTGGTCCCGCTCCTCTACCTGCGGTTCAGGAAGCCCCGTTTCGCCAACCTGAGTCTTAGCGGTTCACAACTTGCCGATGGAGCCTTAGGAGCCTGACACATCTGAGTGTCAGACTGTGCCTGATAAGGGAGCCGAAGAGGCTTTTGGATTTTATAGTCTAAGAAATGGCAACAGGAATTCAAGATGTGGTCATTAAAATATTGACTGTTTAAGAAAACATCTCTTCAGGAGTTTTTACAGGATTGTAATGTCCATAAAATCGATGTGGTATTTAGGTCCAAAAGAATCATTTAGCAGAATGATGTAAACATTTATTTTGATGCTAATATATACAATTTTCCAGAAATCACAACCTTTGCAAGTATTTCAACATATGATAAAAATAGGACGCCTCCATGGCTCAGTCAGTTAAGCCTCTGCCTTCGGCTCAGGTCAAGATCCCAGGGTCCTGGGATCGAGCCCCACGTTGGGCTCCCTGCTCAGTGGGGAGCCTGCTTTTCCCTCTGCCTTTGCTGCTCCCCTGCTTGTGTTTTGTGTTTGCTCTCTCTCTCTCTCAAATAAACAAAATCGTCAAAAAAATTTTAAAAAGAAAGAAGATATTTTAAGCTTCGAGATGAAAACAGTACCTAGTTTTTCAAAACACTTAGGGTCACGCAATGACACAGTGGAAGACCCAATGCCTAGATTCTAAAAGACAAAGTACTGTCTGACCCCACAGAGTAACACTCACTTCTGGTTCTAGAAAGGGCTGCCGGTCACAGTACCTGTCCCTGTGGCCACGGGATAGGCACATGGTCCCCCAGGTTTAATTTTGTCCTTAACCCTAATGGAAGAAGCAAATGTCTCGAATACAAGTGTTCCAGAGCCCAAGCGAGAGAGGTAGGAAATTGCCAGACAGGTAAGACGCTAGGGCCAGAGGGTACGGTCCCAGGGGCTACTGGGGGCTTGACTCAGGCCCAGGCAAAGCTCCCATCACAGGGAGCAGGAGGAGGGGTTCCCCACCCCTATGCCCCTCCACCTCACCTCCCTCCCTGCCCTCCTCCCTCCCCACCCCATTTGCTCTCCTGTTTACCCCAGCCTACTTCCTGCTCTTCACTTCCAAACGCTACCCCCGCCCACCTGACCAGTCCAGCTCCCACCCCATCTTTCCTCACACTAATCCCTAACCCTCTCCAGAGAGGTCCTCTGCGGAGCAGACACCATGTGCATCCAGCCAGCCCAAGTTGTCCACAGGACCTCGGGCAGGGTTGCTGGGGTGAGGGAGGATTAGGTCTACGGTCTCTGCTCCAGGCTCGAGGAAGAGCGTTGGTGAGTTTCTTGGGGGCCCCAAAAGGACATCCTGAGGCCACGAGGAGACCTTTGCCCTGAGTGAGAATGTCTTTGCCCCAAAGCGTTTGGGGCTGCAACTCCCCCAGCCCTGAACCTACACTTTCCTCTGCCACATCTTCTCTCACGGGGGGTGGGGGGGGGGATGTGTGTGAAGGGTCTGACTCCCCTTCTGAGGGGAGGGGCATATTCATCTTCTCCCCCAAATCTCTTGGGAGTCAGAGTGGGTGTTGCCGTGTCCACGGAAGGCTGCCTCTGCCCTTGCTCTTACTTTCTTCTCTCGGAAGCTGTACTTACCCCAAGCTTGGACCCAGCCCCAGAGCGACTTAGGGTTCCGCGTGCAGCTCAGAGGGTAACAGCCCCCACCCCCAGCAGAGGCTTAGGTCCAGCGCAAGTCAGGGTCCTGCCTCCACCCCTGCACTGAGAGCCCCTTGCTCAGATCCCTACTTCCAGATCCCAGATCCCTGACTTCCTTCATGGCCTCTTGTTTGATGACCACAGTTTCTAACTTGAAAGTGAAAATTAAAAATTTGAAAAAATTGGAAATTTGAAGTTGTGGGGCTTTCTAGACAAGTGGCAAACCTCTCAGGGTCCAAGCCTCACAGGGCCTTCCCCACTCCCTCCCAGGCCCTCCGGACCTGGCTCACACCCTCAAAGCCTCTCTGCCGCCCCCACGTCTTCTCAGTGAAGACACCGGAGTCCATGCCTCTTCTACCCGCTTTGCTCCCTCTGGGATCTTCACACTTTCCCGTGGCGTCTCCCACTAGCCCCACCCCGACCCAGCAATAGCCCCAGTCAAGGTCCACATTTATCACCGTGTCCTATCCGCACCCCACCTCGCCTTGTGACCGGTGCCTGATGTGTCTTCTACGGGGGGGGGGGGGGGGGGGGGGGAGACCAGCCGCGCCCGCCCTCCCTCAGCTCCCATGGGGCCTCCTGCGCCCACTCTGCAGGAGAACGCCCACCCACTGGCCACACTGTGACTCCTCCTCC